CTGTGAGCCCCATCACAGAGCAGGGACGAGGCCTGTGAGCCCGCCCCAGACCAGGGCCAGCAAGAGTCCAGCAGTGTGCACTGCCTGCAAGTAGTTATCCCTCCACAATCGCCCAGTCTACACAAAAGAGACAGACCTGCACGTGTGCTGGCTATAAAGGAAGGGAGACAATGGCCAGGACACAGGACACAGTAGACAGCCACACCACCTCCCAGACAACTGGCTTGTTTGAGACTGTTTCAAGGGAGAGTGGAATAGGAGAGAGTTATAGAGGAGCAGAGACCACTAGGCATACATTGAATACATGTGTGGGAATGCCACAATGAACCCCCCTTGCACAACTAATATATGCTAATAAAAAAAAGGCACCATTGGCTCATGCCTGTAATCCTCGCTACTCAAGAGGCTGAGATCTGAGGATCATGGGTCAAAGCCAGTCTGGACAGGAAAGTCATGACTCTTTTTTTTTTGGTTGTCGTGGGGCTTGAACTCTGGGCCTCAACGCTGTCCCTCAGCTCTTCAGCTCAAGGCTAGTGCTCTACCACTTGAGCTACAGCGCCACTTCCAGTTTTCTGGTGGTTTATTGGAGATAAGACTTTCACAGGTAGGGCTAGAAGGTGGCTCAGTGGTAGAGCGCTTGCCTTGCATGCCTGAGGCCCTGGGTTTGATTCCTCAGTACCACATAGCAAAAAGAAAAAAGCTGGAAGTGGCGCTGTAGCTCAAGTGGTAGAGTGCTAGCCTTGAGCTCTAGAGCTGAGGGACAGCGCCCAGGCCCAGAGTTCAGGCTCCACGACCGGACCAAAAAAAAAAAAAGTTTCATGGATTTTCCTGCCTGGGCTGGCTTTGAACCTCCATCCTCAGATCTCAGCCTCATGAGTAGCTAGGATTACAGGCGTGAGCCACCTGTGCCCAGCATGTCATGACTCTTATATCCAATTAACCACCAAAAAAAGGCTGGAAATGGAGGTTGTGCTTCAAGTGATGAAGAGTACTAGCTTTGAGTAAAAAAACTCAAGGACAGATCCCAGGGCCTGGGGTCAAGCACAGAGCCAGCACACACATAAACACACACTACCACCACCACCAACAAACTACCAAAAAAAAAAACAAACCCAAAAACAAAACAAAACAAAAAAAAAACTTGAAAGGTAAAGAAGCAAGAAAACTAGAGACCAGAAAGGAAGAGGGCTTACATAAAGATCAGTCAGGAAAAAAACAGCCTTCTCTGCCAGACCAAAACCTCAGCGACAGCATGCAAACACACCTCAGCAGACTGTAGCACAGGCTCCCAAGGGACCCCCACAGTTCCCCTATGGCCCCAATCAATCTATCATCTGATGTGACGTTGCCTCCAGAAACTCCTACAACTTCACAAGCGGTTTTGCAGCTCACGCATAGTAAATAAAGAGACTAAAAATTTCCAGATATGTCCAACAGACAAAATCAATGAATTAAACTAAGTTAGAAAGAGTTATCCCAGTAGTTCAGAGAGTTCTAAAAAAAAGGGACCTCTGATTATAAAAGAAAAAGAAAAACTCTCCCAACAGTTATAATTAAGTTTAGTCCAACCTCCGTTATAGGGAATAGATGGTGTTTCACACAAAATATATAAAGTTAGTAACATCATATTTCCTGAACCAACCGAAGAACCATTTCCTTATATAGGAGCTTATAAAGATGAAAATAGTTGGATAAAAATAAAAATAAAAAGAGTACAATATAAGTACAGCCCTGTCTTACGTATGTTAATTATTAAACATAAAAAGGCTGAACAGATGACGCATTCTGTTAAACAATATGCTAGACTTGTTTCGCATCACTTAGCTTAAACAGTTGGTGAGATAGTCATCAATTTTCATGTAATTCATCAATGCTTTGCCTTTAAAAAAAATTGATTACATGCTTAAATAAACAAAGAATCTATGTCACAATCACACACTGTATAAAAATGTTAATTCTCCTCAATAAAGATACACTCAGATGCAACTCTTCTGAGTCTGTGTCTGTCTGTCACTTCGCCAACTCCTCGCCCACCTTTCCCAAGATCCCTGCCCTGTGAGTCCCAGTGCTCTGGCTGCGCTGGTCCGCCGCACAAGAGAACACTGGGGTGCATGACAGCCTCCACACAGCACAGACGCGATGCACAAGCAAGAGCTGGCACAGGCTGGGGCCCAGGAGTTGTGTGCAAATCCTCCCAGATCTTCCATGGCCTCCAAGACAGGGCCACAGCCTCTCAGCCACAATCCAGTAACCCCACTAACTTGGGACTCCACTTAGCATAGACCTGCCAGCATGTTGGCTCTGGCATTCTGGTGGCCAACTCACTTACCAAAGACTTCTGAGGGGTTCAGTAGCTCCAGCAAGTATCCCCCACGTTTGGTTTCATATGTGGCAAACCCTCCATCGCTGTTCCTCATGCTCAGCAACTAAAATCAGAGGATAGGGCTGGGAAGTGGCTCAGTGGTAGAGCGCTTGCTTTGCATGCCTGAGGCCCTGGGTTCGATTCCTCAGCACCACATAAGCAAAAAGAAAAATGTCAGAAGTGGCGCTGTGGCTCAAGTGGTAGAACTCTAGCCTTGAGCTGAGGGACAGCGCCCAGGCCCAGAGTTCAGGCCCAGAGTTCAGGCCCCACAACCGGACCCAAAAAAAAACAAAAACAAAAAACTAAAATCAGAGGATAACTTAAGAACTGAGTGTGCTTGCAGCCACAAATCACAACCGGGCTTTCTAAAAGCAGCTCAGAGCTGACCATCCACAGAGCAGGAACAGGAGATAGAAGTCAATCTTTGTGTGGAGCAAACCCTCAAGTGCCCAATGCAGCTGCTGTAGCCATAGCAATCAGGGCCTCTGTAGCCACCCAGGAAAACACCTGATGTGTTCATCTGCTTAAGAACCATGGTCAATGCCAGGGCAGTACAAATCTCCATGGTCAAACGTGTAGGAGAACCAGAGGTGCTAAAAAGATTGCACAAATAAACAGAACTGAGCCAAATGCTTGTGTCTCATGCACACAATCCCAGCTACACCATATGCTGTAATACTAAGGCTGAAATCTGAGGATCAAGGTTCAAACCAGAAAAATCTTCAAGACTCTTATCTCCAATTAACCAGTAAAAAGCAAGACCTAGTGGCATAGTTCTAGTGACAGACCATCAACTATGAGCAAAAAAGCTTGACCGAGGTCAAGCCCCAGTACACACACA